ACCCTTGGCGTTCAACATTGAACTGGCGACGGAATAAACGTTGCACGGTAACTACAGAATCATTGTTTCTGAAAAATTGCTCGACACCAAACACACGATGCTCAGTTGTCCACGGTGCTATGGCTAAAACTGTATTGCCTGTGTTCTCTGCTGGCGGTGAGGCAAGGTCAATCCACTTCTCCTTGCGGATTACTATTCACTCAGAAAACATGCGTTTCCTCTGCGCCACCCTGTACAATTTTTGACACAGTAGTGTTTTTTGAGCCGCTGATTTCTCATCTGGGGTTGGTTTGTTTGTATGAGGCCGTTCGAATTTCAGTTAAAGTTCAAATCAAGATCATTTTCAAAAAAGCCGAGTAGCTGATCCCAACCGCATGTCAATTAGTCACTATAAGGGAATCAAAAGGCCATGACAAGATGACTTCAACGACAACTTGAAAATAAGTATTCAAATCCAGATAGGCTCCCGCGGTCGTTGAGTCCAAATTAAAGATCAGTTTGGCATTTGAAGGATATTTCAAGGCCACTCAAATGACAATATCGAAAAAGTTGAATAACCATTTCTGACCACGGACCATAATTTAGCAGTGTATAAGAGTGTACTTCTCAAGAGTCTGCAAAAGTTCGCAAAAACACTACACTTTATCTGGCAGTAACTAAAGGTTCACAAATATCATTTAATCCAATTGGCGTAATGAAAAACATGCATTTGGGCCACTCTGTAATACTATCTCCATCGCCTGTGTGTGGATTTCCCGAAGGATATAGGTCCGTAATAAGATCCCAACTACTATCGGGGACTGTACCTGTCGCCTTGTAAGACTCGACCATCGTGTAGCATACGCCCAGAACTATACCATCAGGAAATTTAGGGCCGGTAGAGGGGTACAGAAGGAAGTAAGAAGGGAGAGGTGTCAGTCGGATATGGAAATGCATGTATGCATACTCAGGGGATTTGTGAGATGGCAACGCGAAGCCTGATTTGCATTTGCATTTTCGTACTCTCAAACTATTCTATTGAAGATATCCAGCATTTCTAGAGGTATACCTATGTGAATCATGAATCTAAGGGGGACTTCTTCAATCATGTAGATTCTAACATACATTAAAAAGTATATTTTTTTGGAGAAAGCGATAAAATAAAGAAATTATCTTGTTTTGAAGGTTCGACAGTACTTTTTAAAAGGTCCCTTCTGTTTATCCTTTTTTCAACGGGCCAAGCTAAAAAGATGAAATTTGGAGTAACGAAATTGGTGTATGAAAAGTGACAGTTAACATTTCAAGGTGACAGTTTGCAATGTTATACTGATTAATGGAAAAAAACCACTTTACGGCCAAAGAATATAAAATCACTATTTGCCTAAGTGGGGCTATAGGATGTTATATTAGTCTTCTTCTTTTTTCATTAAATTTGGAATCTTCCATTAAAAGAATTATTAAATTTTGTCAAACATTTTTCAACGAAATGTCTCATACTGTATTGAATATTCAGGTAGACCTTTCTAAAAGGAAGAAGACTATACTATCACCCTTTGACAATAAGTTGGTGAGTTACAGGCAATTCAATGTACGCTCAAGATTGACAGCCTGCGAGTTCTTCAGTTTTAGAGGTAATGGTTTTATATTCTAGGATTATAATGAAATCAGAAGGAGCTTCAGAATAAGGTATAAGGGTTATGTTATTGAAATATGACAGCGCCATAAGCCTCATTATATATTCTGGTTAGAGGATATTTGCTATGCTTCCGTTAGATGTCCCGGAGACCAAGCCTAGACCAGGCTGATGATGAGTTGCCAAAAAAGTACGATACAGCTGTTGATGGTCGGCTTCTTATGGTCGGACGGACGAAAATTAGCATGTTTAAGTTAAAACCTCTCAGGAAAAGGTTAATTACGAACATACATACAGAGAAATTGGACGAATCAAGTTTGTCAAACAGGTCCATACAGTTAGTATTTAGCATTCCCTCCCTGGCCTAACTGAAGCACCTTCCCTCTGGTAACGTCATACCTGAATGCACAATGCGGCGCGGCAGCGCGCCAGTCATGCGAGGACACTTATGAAGGCCAGCACGGCGGTCGTTGCAGTCAGACGACGACGCATCGCAGGGAGGGTTGTCGGAAACATTTCTCTATCGTTCTGAGTTCTAAAGGCAAATCTATGATGTGTGAAATATGTCTGATAGATGAGTAGAATTTCCGGGGTTGGAAGTGTATACTTACATCAGAAAAATGCTATACACACTCACCCACCCCCTTACAACCCCCACATCCCTCAATTTTTCAACCCTGAAAATGTTTTCAAAAATGATCAGGATCCTCTGATACGTAAAAAAATGACGTTTAGGCGCTTTTTATATTTTGACTTTTTTCTTCGCCACCACTGAACCCATTTTCAAAAGTTTTTTCGTCCTTGGCTTAGTAGTAATCTTGTGTAAAAATTTTATCCAAATCCGAACAGTATTCTCCAAGTTATAGTCGGGCCAATGATTTGCGGAATTTATAATACTGCCTCGCCATAGGTGTGCGGAGTAAAATGTGAGAATGTGTAAGATAATAATAATAATAATAAATCATAAATAACAATGAACAAATAAGTAGGGGAGACATTTTTGAAAAGCACTGTATATTTTTGGGTTAATGGACAAACACCCAGCCAGAAAATTCCTGGGGTTATGGGCGACTAAAGTTACTTTCTCCTCTGAAAGCAGCTCTTATATTATTGCCTAGGCAAAACGCTGAAGAACAATAAGCAATCGTGTAGTGCGTCGCGTAGATTCCAAAGATAGTAAGAACGGCGCCTGTAAGACTCATTTTGACACCTGCATCAACATGGATCACAGCCATCTTCTATAACCTCATTACCATCAGATAATACCATTACGTCTTAATATCCACATAAACTGTCTACCATATAATTAGTAGTTGAATCGTACCTGAACCCGGTACTCATTATGTGCCTAGCGGCTTGCGCACCTTTGGCCCTGTACGAGGTGGTCCGGCATCGCAAAGTACCATGCCGTGTGCGCCGTGCTTTACTGACTGACGTTTCGCCGCGTGCATTGCGAGATAATTATACATGCGGCGAAACTTATAAACGCCAATGCTAAGCCGACTGATGGCTGTACTTTTGGTTCCCGCGCACTAATGAGAGGTTTTTTGAATCTTGGCAGCAAGGGAATACAAGCCCTAATATACTATTTGGGGCTGGTATTTTGTTCAACCTTAGTAGAACTTCTAGAATTTATCCTATTATTGCTAATTAAGTCCATTGTGTTCTATCTGGTCAATGCCAGCTTGGAAAAAACATGGATAATGCTCAGATATCCTCAGAAAGGCGATATTTTATTATATGAGACCAAAATAAATACGTGGCATTTATAATTAACTAGTGCAATAATATTAAAGATTACAACATAAAAAACTTCATTGCTCTGTTAACCGAAAAAAAAACATTCTGAGGGACCCCGAGACATATCCCAGTCCATTCCACATAAAACAATGTCTTTGATGGCGAACGAACATGATACCAAAAAATTCAGATTATCCTATGGACGCTAGACGAGACAAAGATGGATATGTCTGTAGACCATCTATAGATCGTGTCTTGAGACCGTCTTCTGACTGCCTATAGACAAGTTGCGCAACGGGGTTTACTAGTGTGTACTGAGCTTAAAGATTAAGACTCTGAACTGCCCATTAAACAAATCAAGTATATAGGGCTGTACATATTCACGTGAGATGCAGAAGCTCTGTGATTTAAACGAGTTCAATATAGCAACATAAATAAACACATGCGCGGGAAGAGAAGCGAGACGTGTGGTATTGACTTCGGGCATCGATGGACGCATTTTCTGGAGAGGCCACAGGCTTTAAACAAATCTCATAAATGTATATTTACAATTTAAGCATTCATCTAACATAGTGCATCGCTGCAACACCAACCCCGAAAAAAATCAGTCAACCTAAATGCGCTTTTCATATTACTATTTAGCAACAAACAGAAAATAAATACTTTTCAAGTGCAATATGTATAGCTAATATATTAGTTACTAAGACTTAGATTTGTCACAAGTCACAATACTCGTATATACGTATAAATCGTAAGAATTGTACTGTAATCTAAGTGATGTCAAAGAGAGACAGCGTTTGGAATACCAAAGTATACAAAAAATCGCAATGCTTACTTCTTATAGCTATAATTTCTAATACCCTCTCCACACTTCCGAGCGGATCACGGCGTGAAATCGCGGCGCGAATCGCGGTGCGAAACCCGAAAAGTGTTCTACAGTTCCACACTCGCAGATGTTCGCGCCTGCTTCACAGTATAGTTCGCGCTTGAGACGAGTATGGACGGTGAAATTGTTACTGCTGTTGCTGGGCTACTTCGCGCTTTGGCAATCCATAATTACGCCGATATAAGTAAAAGAAAAACAATTAAAAAGAAGTGGAGAAAACGAAGATGGTGGATCACCACCAACCACCGAAATAGAACCAGGTAATTAATATCAAGATAATAATGGTCGCACGCAGCTCAGTGTCTTATATTTAGTGCCATCGCAGATACTAAAAAACAAGTATTTCACTTTTAGCTGTATAAAATGACAGTTGTGATGAAGGCTTGAAAAGTGAAATATTCTGCTCATGCTGCACTTACTTATCATGTACTACAAGGGCTGATACTCGATAACTTACCTCTACCTTATTTTTAGTCTTTGCTTTTTGTTACAGTGCTGTTATGGAGAAGCAAATAGATGAATTAGTTGCTGAACCTTCCGGTGAATTCAAAAAGGTTTCCCGGATGTCGTTAAATGATTTTGAATACTTACTAAATCAAATTTCAGCCCAAATTTTAAAACAAGACACCCAATTAAGAAAAGCTATTCCTGCCCAGATACGTCTTGCTATAACATTGCGATACTTAGCCACAGGAGATAGCTATGAAAGCCTTCATTTTTTGTTCAAAATATCATCACAAATAATATCAGAAATTATTCCAGAAGTTTGTCTAGCCCTATGTCAGGCATTGAAGGATGAAATAAGAGTAAGTATAGAAGAAAATATTTTTTTAATGAAAATTTGTTTAAGTATATTGAAAACACACGTATGTAATACAATAATCTTAAATCTAACACGACTGGTTATATCTAAAAATATTGATATCAAGATACAGGCAAATTTAGCCGTACATTCAATGTTTTTCATGTGATTTAAGTCAAGTCGAATGCTGTTTGGATTATATTAATTGCCTGATTAGATTCTGGGTTATCGGTGACTTGGTTCGGAATATGGAGGACAGGATATTCAACAACAGGTGTGCGAATCACCTGGTTGGATTGAATCATAATCTTAGGAGGTGGAGCTGATACTGCTTTTCTATTTTGACAATAAGTTTGTTGAGTCACCCGCTCATAACGATTGGTAGGCTCTGAATACGTAGATGATGATGTGCCAGGACTTGATTCATTAAAGTTGTGGGCGATGCTGGGATATGTTGGCGATGGAGTTTGCAGGGAGGGCGTCTCCTCCAATTGGTATCGTAGGTACATGCCGTCAATGTCGTGCATAAACTTTAATCTATTAATTTCAGATAGCTTTCGCAACTTATTTGCCAATAATTTGCCATATAAATCGCAATCATCGCTAAGATGCAGTGGCGTAGCCTGGGTCATTGCCGCCCGGGGCGGAATCATAATTTGCCGCCCCTTTGACGTCAAAAAATAATCATGTTGGTGAAGGTGAAAAAAAAAATAACGTAATCATCTGGAAGAACAGTGCGAAAAAATATTTATTTCCAAACCATATAATATACAGGTCACGTGTAAACTGTGAACGTGAAAAGTATACTGTTGTAAACTATAAAACTAAAATTCTACTTTTCTGGCCTTACGCGCAGCAAAATCATTAATAACTTCTTCAAAATTAATTTTGTCCGTCACGCTTTGTTCTATTGACAAAATGGCCAAATCACTCAATCTTATTGGTGGACCGCAAGTAATTTTTTATTAATTTCAGCTTCGAGAAGCTACGTTCACAAGAAGCTACACTGATAGCTATAGTTAAAAAAATTCGAAGCATAATCACGATATTTGGCACGCAAATGCCATAGTTATATTGTTGTATGAATTCTAGGAGCTCTAGCGGTCCTTTCTTGGCGTCAACTTGAACTTTAGCATCAGCCAAAGCAAGAAAATTGCGTAATCGCTCCCTCTCGATTTCGATTTCGTTAACATCAATGTCACAGTGCTCATTTCCCAAGTTACACTTATATTCCGGGTTAAGTAAGTTCGTCGGTATTAGAAAATTATACTTGATATCTAACTCGTTTAGCTGTTGAAATCTTGTCTTAATTTCTTGTATAATTCTGTCCACCGATTCGAACATTTCTTGCCGTAACCGATTCTCATAAGTTAAACCAGCATCTGCAATGCTCTCGCCAGCCATATTTTTTATCTTTCTTGATCGTCGAGGAGTTATTTCGATGCCAAGATCTTCGCATATATTTTTAGCATAATCAAGTGCATCATTGACGAGAACATCTCGATTTTCTACTAAAAACGATTCTAAAGCGTGAATTTTCATAGCACATTGGTGCACGTTCAGTCCTTTCGTCTGGAGATATAATTGTGCATCATTTACTTCCCGAAGAACACGACTCCATAGTCCAATGAAGGCTAAAAATGATAGTGACTGCAGAGCAGTAAGCAATAAACCAGCGTCTGATCTTGTTCCGGTATTTTCCGCTATGTTTCCTGAAAGTGATTCCAACACTTCAAGGATCTCACTATAATGGGTCTTCATGACAGCTACGGCTTCATATCTAGAGCTCCATCGTGTTTCAATTAAGCGCTTGACTCCTTTACCTGTAACGTCGGTAAGAGCTTTCCAGCGGTGAGTAGAGGATGAAAAGTAATTGAAAACCCTCTCCATAATACCAAAAAACGTCACTGAGTCCACTGCGATTGATGCTGCCTGTACTCCCACCAGATTTAATGAATGATTAGTGCATGCAACAAACTGAGCATTTTGGTTAACTGCCTTGATACGCATTTGTACACCAGAATGTTTTCCCGACATGACAGCTGCATTATCATATGCTTGTCCACGGCAATTTTGGATATCTAGTCCGTCGCTTTCAATCTTGTCCAAAATCATTTTAGTTATATCCTCAGCGTTTTTGCCTTCAGTTTCAAGGATGTCAATGAATGATTCTATCACTTGCACCTTGGTACCGTCGAGTTTCACATAACGGAGTATTTGGCTCGTCTGGTCCTTGTGGGAGAAGTCTGGCGTACTGTCGAACACAATAGTGAAATACTTGGCTTCCTTCACTTCAGCAAGTATCTTTTTTCGAACATAATTTCCTAAACAATGAATGAATTCATTTTGAATCTCAGGTGATAGGTAAGATACACTAGCTTTCTTCTGCAGTTTCAGCTTTGTAAGGTGTTCACAAAGAACCGGGTCGTACTTGCCAAGAAGATGAACGAGTCCTAGAAAGTTGCCTCTATTTTCAGCGTCATTTTCTTTCATGATTTCTCTATGACCTCGCAAGGCCAGATTTTGTTTAGCAAGAAATCTGATAATATCCAGTATCCTGACCAGTACTAGTCTCAGCTTCTGCTCTTCTTTAACAATCATATTTTGTTCTTGCTTGTCGATCGTTGCACCAACTTGAAGTCTTACCTCCAAAGATTTCCATTTATTGAAGTTGTCATTATGTGCTGAACTAGATTCATGTTCTAAAACTTTGGGATTTAGTTTCCACCACTTTTTGAAACCATTAATGCTGTTGAATCCAGCTTTATCGACGACCCCAAACAAACGGCAGCAGAAACAGAACAATGATTCCTTAACTAAGGAATAGGCCATCCATGTTCTCAGAATCTTTTCGCCATTTGGTAGAGTTCGGAAAAACCAATCACGGCTTAATTTTCTTGCCACTCCTTTGAGCCCCTTGGTAGATTCTACAGGCCCTGGCCTAATCACTTCAGCAAACTTACAGTCAAGGTTCTGTACTGCTTTGTAGCCTCGAGTCACAAGTAATGTTCGAAGATTATCGGTAATGGAAATAGGCCAAGTTCCAATATCTTTGTAATCGCTGATAGATCCATCCTGAATGTCAAGAGTATCGATCACTTCATAGCTTTCGTCTTCCACCAACAGTTTCAATTGTTCACCTACTACCGCTGGTTCATTAGGCAAATCTTCAAATTCGGTAAGTCCGCCACTAGAAGACGAAACAGCTTTTTGATTTGGAGTGGCACTAGTACTAGCTTCTCTATCAACTTCAGATTCAGCTGTTTCGGTAGTCGAGTCAAAATACTTGAGTAAAGATCCCTTATTTTTCTTATTTTCTTCCTCTCGGGCTTTTTTTTGCTTCCTGTAAAAATCACCGCTAGGCTTATGCCTCTTCATGATCTGAAAGTAACATTGATTTAGCTCGTAAGTTTTTAGGCCAATATAGGGGCAGCAAAATTTGAACCTATAGGCAGGTAAGTAATGGCACGGGAAGGGGTATTAACTAACCAGTTATAAAATTATTATTTTTTTTAACTATCAATATTTCGTGCTAAAACAGGTAATCTATTTATATTATTTTACATGAACTCGATCACTAAAATTTAAATACGTAATGCAACGAAACATTGGCTTTCGAAAAAGCGCGCATAATCTCCCAATCTCCTGCGTTCACATATAATGTGTTATATTTTCCGTGAGATCTACGATAAAAAGCATACTAAAACTTACTTACTGTTAAAACGGCAGCTTAGCGGGATACAAAACCGCGAAATACTGTTACGAATTCCCCAAAAATTCACTGGCACTGTCAATTCGACACTCAAGTCGCTTTGTTTTTTGTTAATTGAACAAAATGAAGTCAAGGGAAGGGCGCGCGGCGACGCGACGCGTGGGTGCTCCTAGAATACGTGTGGGACAGAGACAGGCAATATGCGCGCGCAAGACGGGGCGAATAAGTTACTGGTATTGGGAGGAAGGTACCAGGGTTGCCAGATGTGGTGATTTTTCACCAGATCTGGTAGTTTTTCATATGCTCGACAAAATATTTTTTCCTCATGTAGCACGGATCGGCGGCGGTTCCCTCTCAAACGGAGTCTACAGCAGGCTCGTACCACGTGAAGGGTACAAAAAGGGTCAATTTTGCCGCCCTACTATTGGTGGCGCCCGGGGCGGTCCGCCCCCCCGCCCCCCTCCTCGCTACGCCACTGCTAAGATGGGTTGATGATTCATTTCTGTTTAGCGCGGATTTGAATGTGGCAAGAGCATCTTTAACAATATTTCCAGCATGAATCAGCTCCGAAGGGTTTTGGCGTCGGCGGATTGTCTGATTGCCGTCTATTTGGGTGTCCATAGACTGACTTTGATTTTCATTCGTCTCTTCAAGTATCTCTTCAGTTGGTTCGGAATTTGATCCTTGAGTCTCCTCCAACCCGCGTTCCTAAAAAAAAACATACAATTTCATGAAGGTTATATATATATATACTCATTGAACGTATAAAATATTTAATTGAATGTAGTACAAACAGAGTTAAAATTAAACATTTTGACAGAAGCAGGAATCCCTGGATAACTAAAGGTTTGATAAAGTCTGCCAACAAAAAAGAGGAACTATACAAAATAATGAAAGCATCGCCATGTGCAGATACCTCCCATAACTATAAAGAATATAAAAATATTTTTATCAATCTAGTTAGAGAAGCAAAACGCCAATTCTATCTAAAAAAATTACAAGATGCCAAATCTGATCCAAGAAAACTGTGGTCAGTTGTCGATCACTTAACTAACAAAGACGTTCAAGAAAAACCAAATATTGATGAAATTAAGAATCATGATGGAACAATATTAACAGATAAACGACAAATGTCCGATGCATTCTTAAATTTTTTCACTAATGTTGGAGAAAATTTAGCATCCAGTATTAAAAAAATGGTTTCGAACGAAAAGTTCACAAAAACCCAACTTCCCAATTCATTCTTTTTAGAAAGCGTTAGTCCGATTGAAGTACAAGAAGCTGTCCTATCACTTAAAACCAAAAAAAGTCCTGGTGTAGATGGTATCAAAGCTGAGCATTTAAAAATAATAGCCTACGACTTAGCCGAACCACTTTCTTACGTCATTAATTGGTGTTTCCAATCTGGAATTTATCCTGATGCATTTAAAACAACTGTTATTACTCCTGTTTATAAAGGCGGTGACAGAATGGAAACATTAAATTATAGACCCATATCAGTACTATCGAATATAGCCAAAATTTTCGAAAAATTACTACAAAAAAGAATATTACAATTTTTGGACAAAAACAAAATTATATGTTCTGACCAATATGGATTTAGAAAAGGAAAATCTACTACAGATGCAATTTTGGCTGCAATGGTTGAAATTAACTCTAATGTCAACAAAAAGATACCTACTATTGGTATCTTTGTTGATCTAAAAAATGCCTTTGATACGGTTAACCATGTCGAGCTTCTGAAAGTTATGGAAAGATTGGGATTTAGGGGAGCGTCACAAATCCTTTTAAAAAATTACCTTTCAAGTCGGGCACAGACTGTCAAAATCACTAACACTTACAGTAAAACAAATTTACATCAAGTGTGGTGTGCCTCAAGGAACAGTACTAGGCCCACTATTATTTAGTCTCTACTTAAATGACTTATTCAAAATTAACAGTTCTGGAAAGATTATATGTTTTGCAGATGCCACCCTCGTATTATATAAAGCTGATGACTGGAGCACACTGAAGCAAATAGCTGAAAAGGATTTTATAAGGATCATTGACTGGTTTGATACTAAAATTTTATCAGTTAACTTCAAAAAAACAAAATTTATTACATTTACATCCTATTCAAAATTTTTACCTACCTTCGAACAAATTTCCGTTAATTATCATGGCCAAAAGATCAAAATCGATAGAGTTAACACTTTGAAATATCTTGGAATATTTATAGACTCACATCTAAGGTGGGATAACCATATTAAATATGTTATCAAAAAAATTAGAAATGTTGCCTATAAACTCAAAATGCTTGCTAACATTCTTACAGAAAGTTATCTGCGAATCCTATACCATGCCTTAGTTGAAACCCATATAATATACGGCATCACAGCCTGGGGTGCCGGGTGCAAGACATATATTTCTGACCTGAATATAGCACAAAAAACTGTTTCGAAAGCCATTTTCCATAAGCCAAGATTATATCCAACGAACAACTTATATCAAGAAACAGGGATACTTGATACAAGACAACTTTATTTCTTACATGCCACCACCTTATACCATAAGTATTGTAATAAAAAGAAAAAATCCTATAAACACGAGCATAACACACGATTTCGAATAGGCTCATCTAATATCCAAAGACCACACAAAACATTATTCAAAAAATCATTTAAATTCTTAGCAGCTAAATTATATAATGTAGTACCAAACGAAATAAAGATACTTAATTTTGGAAAAAAATTTAGAAGAAAATTGAAAGACTGGGTTAGTAATGTGCAGCGAATGACTATACATAATTATATAGAAAACTAAAAGTACAAAATTCCAATTACATTAATACCTTTTAGATTTAACAATAATTGTTATACACATATATGATTGATTGTTAGTTATTAAGATATAAACCACACACAGGCGATGCCTTCTGTGGTTTTTTCATATTTATTTGCCCATTTTTTGTATTTTGGCGAATAAATATTATTATTATTATTATTATTATTATTATATTGAAGAGTTTCTATCACTTTGTGGTCTCAGACGAAGGTTTTATGTTTTCTTTTTTGCAGATACCGTCTTGTCCGGAAGAATGGCTTTGTATTGAGAAAGGATTTGCAAGGAAGTTTCCTCGAGCAATAGGATCGATAGATGGCAAACATATTGATCTCGACTGTCCGTTCAATTCTGGCTCTGAATACTATAATTATAAAAGAACCTACAGTATAGTATTATTGGCATTAGTCGATAGTCAGTACAACTTCATATTCATATTTGCTGATATTGGCTGCCAAGGCAGAATAAGTGACAGTGGAGTTTTCACCAATACTTTGTTATGGAACAAGATATGCACGAATAGCTTAAATTTACCACCGCCGCATCCTTTGCCCGGTTCAAATATTGATGTTCCCTACATTTTTTTGCACTTTCAGAACACTTAATGAAGCCCTATCCTGGTCAGCACAACATAGGATCAGAAAAACGTGAATTTAACAAGAGATCTTCAGCTCGAGTGGTTTTTGACTTTGTTCTTATAACTCCTATAACTTGACATTAAAGAATCTTTTTTCTTTCTCAATTCATCCACTGGGATTTCCATCACTGAGCTTATCCGCATCCATGCATAATGAGTTTTAAATTTATTCCTATAGTCTTTTATCTTAGTGTCCCACAGTACCGGTTCAGCACGAAAATATTCCAAAAATGATAGTTCCAATTGGTTACTCCAGTTAAAACTCATTTTTCACGACAAATCGAAAATTCGTATCCGTAAAGAAAAACACAACCACTGCCGTCACTCGCTATGAGGCAACTGAGCCACCAGCGAATGAGTAGCCTAGTCATGTTCGCAATATGTTCGCGCCTTGCGAACCCTTTGTCGCGGGACGAAAAACCGACAGCAAACGGGCACGACGCGCGAACGAGACGTGAAGCCGCGAAGAATACGCGAATGGGTTACACACTCATGGGTCGCAGGTAGTTCGCGGCTTCGCGCGCGATCCGCGCGGGAGTCTGGAGAGGGTATAACAGAAACTAACTCCCCGTAAGTCAGTAACTGAAACTGGGCAATCTAGGAAAAAGGTTCTAACAAATGTAGTATGGAGCAAAATGATTGTGATCGTGACAACGACCTGACCATGACTACGATCTTCAAGGTCTTTTGAAGGTCAAGTGGATATTTTGAAAAGGAACCCCCTTCTCATCGTAGTAGGAAAGATGAGCAAGTTCTACGCCCGACAACTACTTTGACTGCGACTTCGAACACTGCCATCAAAGACATTTCAAGGTAAAATCAAGTAATCTAAAACGATTCGACCTAGCAAAAGATGTTTGACAACACAGTTGTGAGGTTTCTGGGGATCATTCAAAGGTGACCACAACCTTTAAAGCCAAATCAAAACTTCCAAAGAAAACCTTTCATTTTTATACTGGAAATGGAAAAGAAATCTTATGTCCAAATATGAACTTGACCTCAAGTAATATCTTAGCATTACATTACCTTGGTTTTGAAATTGAGGTCATATTCAGACGTAAAATTTTCAGCTTTTTTCATTTCGAGTAAATAAGTAAAAGTCTTTATTCGAAAATTTTGGCTTTGCCTTAAAGGTTAGGGTCAAGGTCAAGGTCACTGAGCCACACAAATCTCACAATTTTGCTGTAGAACTTTTTTTGCAAGAACGAATTGTTTTCGATGTTTTGATTTGACCTTTAAATGGCCTTGAAGGCAGTGTTCAAAGCCACGGCTAAGGTAGTGCTCGGACATGAAATTTACTAGGTGCTGCCAAGTAGTTACTCTGCTAACCGCAGCTTTTGGGGTGACGTGCACTGTCTTCACATTTGCTAACAGTTTCTAATAACAATATTTATCCACTGTGTCCGTACCATACTACAGGAGACACAGTAATAGGAGCGCCAAAATTTGAATAATCGTTCACACAATACAATTTTACTATTTATCCTCTCCCTGACACGCAAGGTTCTATATGATGCAAGGAGAGGTAAAGGGATTCTACGTGCAAGATTAATCACGTCTGCGTTGAATCAAACGTTTAGATGATATTTAATAGTACACCGTAAAGACGAAGAGACACCAGCAGCATACGACACTTCCAGTTCCTGGTGTCTCCTTCACTCTTTATACAGGACAGTAAGAAGGCTTTTCCGCAGGTCCTAGAGAAACTTGAAAGCTGTTTCTCAAAATCACGTGAAAACTCTATATCACTGCAATCAACGGATTCGAATAGATTAGAAGGAGCTAAACCTATATGTTTACATTTCATTGTTTATCGCCAAAATTGCGTAATTTTAGTGGATACTCGTTTGTTATTCTCACTCGTCTATCTACAAATGCCTACCAAAATGACAGCGTTGTATCAACATGCCGGTGGAAACATCTACCTTCATTCAGCTGCGTCTTTTCAAATTATGTAAGGAATAGCACATCTCCAAATCTTGCCACAATTATCTGCAAACATTGGCATTTTTTTAAAATAACTCTAAAACTACGAAATAGAATGCAGAACTGTAAAAAATTGACTTTTATCAGGTGCACTTTGATCGTCAGTACAGACTATGAGAATAACGAGACAGACAAATCCTATCAAGTTGACAGAATTTTTGCGAAAGTCCAGGAAAGAGGCGTATAATAAGATGGAAACAGATCCTGGGGGTCAGCAGGATGCAACTCCAAGCTGCCCCAATATTGGCGAGAGTCAAGGTGCCCCTCCAGACAGAGATTGTCTACCCGACAAGGATGCGTTCATCAGCCAGCTGTTGGAGAACAATAGAAAGCAGCAGGAAACGATAGCAGCACAGACGAAGCTTATTGAAAAGATGTAACCGCAAATAGACGAGTCGCAAATACAAATTAATAAATTACCAAAGAAGAGTGAAGCGCCAAAGAAACATCAATATGAAAGCGACAGCGAAGGTTCCACAGTTAACGAAATTGAAATAGAAAACATGCAAGAAGATAGCTTTAAAGTAACAAAAAAATGCAGATCCAAGAAGAGTTCCAGCGATTTTCCACCACTACCAAGTAAGCCCAGCCAGCTTCTTACTTCATCTTTATCTCCTTTGCCTCAAACAAAAATTTTTACCACTAAAACTCTAACCTCTGCTACTGACTCTAGTCAAAATATACAAATTCAGAACCAAGAACTCCAGGTTCGAGCACTACACCTTCAAGACCACCTCCATCAAAGCGGGTCACGGTGATAGTACTGCGAGAACCAGGCATGTGGAAGTTTCTATCTCAATCATGCGTTTCTCTATGTGTTACAGTTGAAAAAGCTGCGGCTATCGATGCCGGAATAAGAATTACTCCTAAAACAGAGGATGATTATAGATAAGGCCCAGCCTCGAGTATTGCTCACACCTTTGGGGTGCTGCCGCCCCGACTACATTGTCCATGCTCGATGCTGTCCAGAGGAGGGCGGTCCGACTGATCGATGACTCTTCTCTAACAGACAGTCTCGGGACTCTTTCGCACCGGCGGGCCGTCGGCGATCTAGCTCTTTTCTATCGCTACACCAACGGGCTTTGCTCCTCAGAGCTCTCTTCCATGATGCCGCCGCGCGATGTGCCTGCCAGACAGACCCGCTTGACTTCGGCGTCCAATCCTAACCGTGTCAAACTTCGTACATCCAGAACTGGCCGATACGACCGCTCCTTTGTCCCGAGGGTGTCTAGATTGTGGAACAATCTACGGGTGGAAGCTTTTCCCAGTTCTACTAACCTTAGGCAGTTCAAAAATCGTATTAACAAAATTTCTTTGGGATCATCATAGCAGCCGCGGTGTTCCGGCATTTAGGCTTCTGCCTGCGCGGCTGTTTCGATATAAAAAAAAACAAAAAAATAGAAAGCTTGTACGATTTCTAAAAGAAAAAGAAATAGCACACCATACTGTTCCCCTCCCTGGAGAAAGAAACATTCACGCGGTCCTTAGGGGAATACCAACAACTTCGGAGGAATGTGAAGTGAACGAAGAGCTCATAACAAGGGGATATAACCCTCTTCATATAATTCGCTTAAAAAAGAATGGCGGTAGACCCATGCCTCTTATAGTTGTGGTACTGCCGAAGTAGCAAGGTCTCATGACATTTTCAATGAGCGTGAACTCATGGGCTTGGCTGTCTCTGTGGAGGTGCAACGAATGTCTGGACAAATCAGTCAGTGCCATCGCTGTCAGAGATATGGTCACTCCCAGTCATATTGTACGGTACCTTCCAGGTGCGTGAAGTGCGCCCAAGAGCACCTCACGCATCTTGTGTGCACTTACAGAACACGATGCTAGGACTTGTGCAAATTGTGGGCAAAATAATCCAGCAAATAGCTTAAGCTGTAAATTAGTCCCCAGAAAAAATATTGAACCTTTACGAGAGCGACAGCAGAGAGCGACTTCTCTAAATTTGAACACAACTTGTGCTGCTGTTGCCTCTTCCAGCAACACAAATGTAGACACTTCACAGTCTGCCCCAGTTAATGATTTAGCAACTGTCCTGAAATCTCTTGAACAGACTATAGCTCCTCTTCTGCACGCCAGTAACAGGACCGTAAATAAATAATAATAAATAAACTATACTCCGTAAATAAATAATAATAAATAAACTATACTCCGGCTCAGGTAGCTAAACATAAAATACCTCTCTAAATTATAAATCTTTTGGCAATACTCTAACCAAATTAAGCACCATTCGGAATACTGGTCAAATAAATTTCGTTCTTACTAATTGATTCCATTCCCATTTTTTCTCCCCTTTCTTCTTTTCTTCCTTTCTTTCATTTTCCTCTATTTTCTACATAATTCAAAATCTCTCCTGGCTGGGCCCAGGAAGATTTTGAAGAAAGAAAACATCATTCTGCCAGACAAAAGCTATGAGACGTGAGAGACAGTCAGATCCATGACCAGCTCCTTCTACCTAGTCTGAATTCGTTGATTGCACTAGAACTCATCTTTTCCTTTTTATATTTTAACATCCTGCTTGAGCCCTTACTTCTTAGAGGAAGCATTCTACCCCGTTTATTTAACTTAAACATTGCCTTCCAGGCAGCAACGGCATCTTAGTGGTAGATGTTATGGGTCTACTAATCGGTCACCGTGCGCTGCGTGGTTTCAAATCTCATCTCAGGAGATTCTTTGTCTTGGCTATGAACGTTGTGGTGAAGCAGTTTTATTTCCTTGTACCGGATATCTTGGAACTGCAGCAATAGACTCCCTTTTGGTCTTGAGTACCTCATTTCATTAGAGATACTTCGATATTGCAAAGAATGAATACGTGCCATTATATGCTGACAAAGTGACAAAGGGAAATTCTGAAATTTATTAAATATATTTTATACTATTGCAGCTCCAATAATGCAACTGTCATGAGGTGGTACTCGTAAATGATGGAAAATTATTTTCTCTTAAAGGCGACTGTTGCATACTGATATATAAAGT